AAGGCCATTGCATTCGACAGTGATTACTTTTTATTGTTAATATGTTTCTAACAAAATATGTTCACCAGTTACTGATTTTCCAATGGCCTTTTTATCTAACCATAGGCATTATTTATTAAATTCTTTTGGAACGACGTTCAAACACATGTTTTCCATCTGTTAAGCAAAGGTTTTATGACATCATTATATTTATATATTCAATAAAACCCGTAAACTAATTTATATTCAAGCGTTTTAAAATTTTATGTGTATTTTAAAAAAAAAAAGGATATTTCATATAAAAATGATATTTCATATAAAAACATTTACCAATAAATACTTTTTATATGTAATTAACATTGCTTAAAATAGTTTTATGATTTTTATTATCAATCGCAAGCTCAAATTTATATATTCTATATTGTTTCTAAATGGTTCTACAGCGCGCTTCATACAAAAATGTGCATTTACAAAGATTTTTATTCACTGCCAAAATTAACAGAAAATAAAAAAATATTCGTACCTCCATTGTCAATCGCGGGGAGAGAAACGTGGGAGGATTCATGAAACTTGATTTCTGGCCAATTTCTCGGCGCACAGCGACACTCAGACATAAGCACGTTCATTCAGTTTTTAAATAACCAATCTGTATGTATTTAGACAAACAAGAGAAAACAAAAAATACCCAAAGACGAAAATCTGCTAATGGCAAAGCAAATCACATGAGGAAGGTGCAGCCGAAACAGGAAGAAAATATTGAATTGGTCGTTGCATAAATTTATCTAATTAATTGGCATTTCGACAAATTACACTAAATACATATCTGTATGGATAATATGGTGCACCTATTGCGAATTTGTTGATCATTAGTGTAAAATGTGCAAGCCCCAAAAGCGATAGAAAAGAGCGCAGCATGAGACAGTCGCAAGGAATTTGCAACGTCAAATGAAGTGAATATCAACGAACGACCTTCAACATGAAATGCGACGTAAAATAAATTTATCTCAATTGTATATGTATGTATATAAAAATATATACATACATGTGTGTGCCGGTACATGTGAATCTGTGTGAGTGAGTGAGTGTATATGCGCTACTGCTTTTCAGTTTGCGCTCATCTGCGCCGCTAGCTGGGAATAGCTTAGAGACAAGATGTGGAAAGTGGTGCATATAAATATATTTATTTATCTTATATATACATATATGCTTATATGTGTGTGACGCTGTGTTTGTTTTACATTCACCTTGGCAGCACACAAAAATTAATAGAAAAATACATATACATATGTGATTTTCATATTTGTGCGGCCCACGCGTAAAATATATGAAGTATCTATCGCCCTACAGTAAATACTCGTTGAATGGAAACTGACTGGTTTCATCTGTTAACTTTTAATTAAAGCTAAACAGGATTCAATTAACACAAACACGAGTTAAAGTGTGTGTGTGAATAGTTCAAAAATGGTGAGGATGCTGCAGAAAATGGAGAATGAATGAGAGTCGGTATGACGTGACCTCAAATGTGGCACGAAGTCAAATTGTTCGAGCATGAATGATGACAAGCTTGTTTGATGTGGTTGAATAGACGGTACACGGAATGTGGCAGGGGACTCTGACTAATAGGGAATAAGCTCAATTTACATAAATACTGTACGAATTTAAGTTGAAGTGAGTAAACTGTGAAGGAAATGCATACGATAACGAAATAAACGCTTGAATAACACTAAAAATATATTCTATTTATCCCGTTTTACAAGCAAAAGAATGCTTGAACTCGCCATCTACAATACATAGATTTCACTGTGTCCCGAATATCTCTTAGCTAAATATACGAATATTTGTGCGCAATACATGACGCCAACACACGAGGCGTTCGTTGGCCAGAATTTTTATGCATTTTTTGTCGGCTGCTGTCTGCGTGTTTTTAAATGTTTAAACAAAAAACAATGTGTACGAAAATATTGTGTATACTATAGCATCTAGCTCGGTGGCAATTTGTTTGAGTTGGCGCTGATATAGCAATCGGATATATAAATTGTGTATTTAGCAGTCTAAGCCAGCGATTCATAAAGTAAATAAAGTAAATATAAAGTACTGGCAGTGCTTTTAAATCATTTATAAAATTTGATTTGTTTAAAGGATTTTATGATTTTTTCAAATGAATTTTTGTGAAGGTGGTGGCGTGGTTTGGCAATTTCCGTTCAAACGTTTTTTTTTTTTTCATTTCCGCTTTGTTTTTTATTTTAAAGAGGACCTTATTTAATGCCAGTTGGGAAGAGCTTGCCGAGATTATTTGACTAACGGACAGTGTCCCAAATCGGAAATTGAGAAATCAGCTTTCGCACCATTAGCACATAATTCAGATGTGACAACAGCCTACACGCACTTTATCCCACAAACAAACACATGCACATACACACACAGGCACGGAGCTCACAAATAAAAACTTTGCAATTTGCCAACACACACATACTCAGAAAAGGGTTTCGGGTTCTTCATACCTGTAGCAAAAGTATTTCCGTTTGTTGTTATTTGCCAATTTGAGAAAACAGCCTGGGAAATGGAGCCGCCGCAGTGCAAACCCTTTTTTTTGCTTGTGCCTGGCTTGTGGGCGTGACGCAGGCGTTGTGAGGTTGCCCGACAGTAAATCACGACACCCGTGTGCGGTCACACCCCTTCCCAGCGACAACAAATATTAAAAAAACAAGTAATAAAGCTCTAGTCGAGACTGCTCGACTACGAGATCCCCTGAACCCT